ATTTACCAATTATGTCTGTTTGTATAAAAAAACCCTACTTTTTCCTCAGTTTGTTGGTTGGAGGCTAGGAGAAAGGTTGGTGCCTGAGACTGTCGTGTTCAAAAGAGGTATTGCTCTCTGTGCTTAGATTTATTATTAGTTATTATTTTGAACAACCATCGTGTTGATTTTGTTTATGTTTTGGAAAGTCTTTTTGTTACTGCACTTTTTGGTTAGAGCACTGTAAATAAATATACACCACGTCATTTGCGCTGGACCTCCTTGTTGCGTGCTTTCATTCCATTTGGTGGCCATCCTGCAGTGAAACCTGAGCCAGAGGGCTCACCAATTTCACAAGACCCCTGACTTGAAATGGTACTATAAGATGATAGAAGATCACAGGCTTCAAGCTGAATGATGATCAGACAGTCTGGACAGAGCAAATTAACTGAAGAAATTCTTTTGAAGACGTTTTTCTCCAACAGTGTTTACATTTAATCACTGCTGCACTTTAAGGACACGGAAATGTCACGAGAGCTGTACAAAATGACATTTAGTTTTGTATACACTGTGTATACACAATGAATAATGTCGTCTAATTCTATAGAGTCTTCCAGCTGCAGGGAGGAAGGATCTGTGATAACGCCCCCTGGTGCATTTAAGGTGCAGCAGTCTGTCACTGAAGGAGCTCTCCAGTTCAGCACCAGCTTCATGCATGGGGTGGGAAACATTATAGAGATGTTTGTTTAGTTAGGATCCGTTGGTTTTCCACCTCCTGCACTGAGTCCAGAGGGCATCCAATCACAGAGCTGGCCTTCCTGATCAGCTGATCCAGATCAGCTCACTCGACTGGAGACTCAACTGCAAGGTCGTCTACAAGAACGGACAGAGTAGACTGTACTTCCAAAGGAAGTGTAATTCCTTTGGTGTTTGCAGCAAGATGCTACATATCTTCTATAAGTTTGTTGTGGAAAGTGTGATTGATTCTTCCATCCTCTGCAAGGGTAACAGTATTAGAGCTAATGACTTAAAAAAGCTCAACAAACTAATTAAGAAGGCCAGCTATGTTCTATGGACTCCTCTAGAACCTCTGGAAATTATTTCACAAAGAGGAATTCTTCAAAAAGTGAAGAACATAATGGACAACAGTGAGCATCCTCTTCATCCGACTGTTAAACAACAACAGAGTGCCTTCAGTAAGAGAATCCAGAAGATCCTTCCTGCCTACAGCTATCAACACTTTAAAACACCTGTTTGAAAAAATAACATNATAAGCCGCAAACTTTTTCCAAGAGAGACAAGGTACTCTGCTGTTGAATTGGAGTGCCTTGCTGTGAAATGGGCCCTGGACTCCTTTCGTTACTATCTCTTGGGTCGACAGTTTGTTTTAGAGACTGACCACCGGGCCTTGAAGTGGCTCGGGCAGATGAAAGACACAAATACCCGCATTCACTGACTTGTATTATATTAAACTGAACTTCCAATTTTAACCACTGTTCGGCGCCAAGTAACCTTTCCTCTGATCACGGCTTGCTTGGTCTAGCAATGAATCCTGGGATAT